AAAATAAAAACGTTGCAGTGGCATTTCTTTTATACTTTTTTAACATTTTAATCATAAAATTTTCATAAATATTATATATGCATCTTCCCTATTCCCCAGATTTCCAAAACTGTCGCTACCCTCGCCTTTGTGGTTATATCGTCTAGGCCAGATCCATACATGTCTGCCGTTTTCTTTGACCATCCAGCTATGACTATGTTAACCACCGGCTTTCTACAGCTAGCGCTTAGCAAGCGCATTAGCCTACTCCCCATTATCCCATCCAGACACCAAGAGCAACCTCACCCTCATTTAGCCTTCTCGGCTCTTTCTCTAACGCACATTTCCAGTATCTTCACCTACTACGCCAGCCTCATTGCCGTGCCTCCCTCTATGGCCCCAGATTTCCAAAGTTGTCGCAACATTCTATGGTTATATCGTCCAGGCCAGTTTCTTTGACCTTCCGTCTACGACTGTATCAGCCACCGACCCTCTACTACGAATTACTACTAATTACACTTTCTTGCTAATGTCTTGCCCCGGCACAAGGAACTTCGTTCTAATTTAACCTTCTCGGCTATTTATTCCTGGCTCGATGGACAAAGTACGCCTAAATGGTATAGATAACTTGTTAATGTGTAGAAAGATACACCGAATTCATTAAAAATATAATTGGAAAATTATTCTCCACTTGTACCACATAAAAGTGTCGTACAAACATTAAAATTAATGGCTAAACCTGTGTGGTTTAGCCATAGACATAAAATAGTATCAAATGGACGAAGCCAGAAATTTGACTGGATGACGGATGGATCTGTTTTGCATGCATATTTGTCTAACCTGTACAGTACCCTTAGCACGAACCAAAATCGAATTCGTAACGTTTGCGAGTCCGAAATGTCATTGTCAAATGTGTACTGTACCCCTAGCAAGAACCAATAACGAATTCGTATTCTTTGCGAGTCCGAAATGTCATTGTCAAATGTGTACTGTACCCTAGCACGAACCAATATCGAAGTCGTATATGGTTCGTGCTAGGGGTACTGATTTTTAGTTCTAGTTACGTACTTTGTGCACTGCTGTTCAAGTTTCCATACAAAATTTGACATTGACATTTCGTTTTTCAAATTATTCGAATTCGATAATGGTTCGTGCGAGGGGTACAGTTTACCTATTCAGAATTGTCAAACTTCGTCAACTGCGGGAACTGTTATGAGTGAAAGAGCACTTGCCGCAGTTCACGTAAAGTTGACAATGCTGAATATTGGTGTAAATTATGGCCTACCAGTGTTCTAGTAATATGCTCACAACATTGCGGTGACATGTGGTATTTTCTTAAATTGAAAAGAATTCATAGTGTTAAGCGTGAAAATTATTGAGTCCCGTTTGCTGCCTGGTCAGCGTGGATTTTTTTCTAGTAAAATTTCTATATTATTCTTATAACATCTAGCAGTTAAATGTTTAATGTAATAATAACAATAATGAAATCAGAAATCAGAAATCAATATATCTTTATTCAAATTGGATGTATAGTACAACACTTTTGAATCGTCCAAACATTTTTTTTCCCTACCACTCGTTATTGGACATATTTTTTAGCTGCGGAGAAAAACGAGCGAAAAAAACTCCATAACATTAAAAGCATAATGTAACAACATGAATATAAGCTTCTCATGATTGTAAAATCTTTTGAGCGTCATATCATATGCTAGCAGTCCCAAGATTTAAATCGTTTGATTTTTAATCTTCTTTGATAGGTTGTTGATGAATGGATGCAAGTGGCAAATAGAAGCGATTTAATCCAGTGTCTACAGACAGCCACTTCAGATTCTCGAGCGGAACACAGCAACATTCCCATTTCGAAATAGCACGTTTGCGTAACAATTATTTGGTTTTGGCATTAACATTGTACCTACAATCGAGTGTATTCTTGCTTCTCGGACCTGCTGGCTCAGTATTATTATTAATTTACCGGCCGCGCTCAGAGGAGTAAATTGAATTTTAAGTTTGACTAAAATTGATGTTGATATTTTATTTACGAAGACAATAAATTGAGGCACAGTGACCTAATCAAGCATTAAATTAATTTGACGTTTCTTATGTGACCAATTCTTTTGAATATATTATAGGTAGGTGCGTAGGTTATTTTATTTATTTTGAATTACTGGGAATGTGTGTCTAACGTTTTGTTTGAAAGTTTTGAGCTAACCTATTTTTTTTAATTTATTTCTTGTAAAAGCTCACTTACCCGTGAAATTACTTACTATGTGTACTGTCAATCTGAGCCATAGCTCACTGTGTAATCTATGTATATATGTGTATGTATATAAAATTCTCGCGACGGTGTGCGTAATTGAACTACTCTGAAACGGGTCAACCGATTTTCGTGAAATTTTATATGCATATTCAGTAGATCTGAGGATCGGACAACATCTATTTTTTATCCCTCTAAATGTTAAGGGTGGTCCAAAATTAAATTTTTTTTGGACAAAATTTTATGTTTTATTTTTTTATGATACTTTATGCAAAAATACACACAAACCTAAATTTTCACCTTTCTACCACCAACCCCATATTTTTATCGCGGTACGAAGTTTGCTGGGACAGCTAGTTTCTCTATAAAAATCACGTCTCAATTCGCTTCATTGATTTGGATCGTAAAATATGCATTTAAAGACGGACAATAATAGAACTCACAACCTACGAATTCAGATTGAAAGTTTAAAATAGATGCTCTAAGTAGTAGCAATACCATGACTAACCGAAATCGACAAATGTACGAGTTATGTGAATAGGTACTTTCCATAAAAATTAACGAATGGAAAACAATTTTACAATATATTAGGTACTTACTTACTTATGTACTTTAAGATAATTATTCTTTCCTTTGTTTTCATAATGATATTGAAGATCTCGGTGGCGCAGGTGGTTAGCGCGTTCGGCCTGCGATCGTGGAAGTTAAGCAATTTTTGCAATGGTCGGTTGAATAGGGTCATTGGATGGGTGACCAAAAACTTATAATCTCTGTCGCTCCTCCGTGCTTTGGAAGGCACTTTAAGCCATTGGTCCCGACTGCAGCTGCAGCTGTTAGCACCCACCAATTGCACTGAGCCCGGGTTGTGGGTCACGGCCCAATCTCTCTTTTCCATCCATATTGAGGTCTGTACCCCAGCATTGGGGACATTAATAGGCTGATGATAACATAATAATCTGTATATAAAAAAGGCAACCATTATTTACTATCAACTATCTATTCACGAACAACTTATGCCGCTGAATGGATTACCCTAAAATTTGGCACACATAATTATAGCTATTAATTATTAGTAGGGGAGCCCAAGCGGGGATTTTTGGATTTACTCGAGCGCGGCAGAATAACGTATGGGGAGCAACCTTACGCCTAGTTAAGTACTCCCACCATACCTGAGCCCTCTATGTAGGGCCAAACGTCTAGGGCAGCAAAAACAAAATTTCAACGAACGGTCATGACTTTTGGTCGCGCCCGAATCGTCAGTCTTTTGAATATAAGCTATTAGAGGGTTCATGTAACATCCCTTCTCAATGTCTGACGCGCTTGGTTATTTTTTCCTATATTCTACCCCTTCGTACGACCACCCCCATATCACGCAAACCGCAGCAGAACAATATTTGATTAGGCTTGCGCTTAGAACAGATTTTCCTAAACTCACTCCCTAAACGGTTAAAACGCAGTTTGAAGTATGTATGGAGCATTGGAGCACCAAGATCGGGAGGTTAATCCTATAACTAAATAAGCAATTTAGTAGTTTTTTTACTAAGTTTTACATTCATTCATTCACAAATCTAATGCCAGCGAAGCCGCAAGCCGCTAGTAATGATATAATTCTGATTTCAATGCAAGATAGTTTACGCTGTAAGAACACCGTCTACAGTTTAATTTAATTATTTTAGCCATGATTAACTTTCATACCCCTTTTTAAGGACATTTTGCTCATGGTGAAGCTCTTTTCGTGATAAAAAATTTTCTGGGAAAATAGTTTAGAAAGCTTCTTCCGACGCTCACACATTCACACTATCTAACAATTTTCTCGATAGTCTTCTTTCATCTATCTTTTCTAGACCGCGTTCTTTCATCCATTGTTAAATTTGACTATAGATAATGTCACGTCATGTACACTATGTGTATGTCATATAATCATTCCTGCCCGCCTAGCATGAGCACCGCGATATGATATATTTCTCGTTTTTATCACGCTCTAGTGTCAAATTACTATGAAGTTTGACAGTTGGACGCGATAAAAAACGTGATATAACGTAATATAATAGTAATATAGGCTCATGCTACAGGGACTGATTGCTACTTAGTTACAGAAAATCTATTTTTACTACATTAATTATAATTACGAGATTCTTCTGTTACAAGTAGTTACCTGCTACACGATAACAGTCTTCAAGGATAGTACCTACACTAATTAACTAGTTCTACGAAAAAACAAAAATAACACAGAGTAGGTACTTCAAATGTACCATACAGGGAACACTAAATTGTTAACTTGTCAACTTATTACCAAAAAAGTTATATATGCGTTCAACACAAATTTAAGAAAAAATATAATACAAAATTTGCCTAAAAATGGAATGAAACCGCGTATGACTTGTTTGTAGTAAGACCGTTAATTTTTAAACTGCCATACATTAAGCGTAAATATACGAAAAAGTTTCTTCAATTATAATATTGAATGTGGGTTTAAATAATTAAAATAGTTGGTAATACTGTTGAATTACAGTTTTCTTAAGTAACTAATAATAATGTCTAGTAATAATATAATGTCTGGTCAAATTCAAAATCACTTTTTCTTTTTATACCGATTTTGCCAATGTTGTTTATAAATAAGAAAGGAAGGCCGATATTAAGCATTGATAACCATTTTATAGTAAGGGTATCTTAATAAATGTCTAAGGTTTTTTGTTACTAATTGCCGCCTACGCTTGATAAATAAACTTGCTTAAGACTCGTTAATTCGTCATACCATTGCGACGTACACCTCCCCCAGCTTCGGATACACCGCTGCCTCAGATATGTGTTCCCGGTACAGACGGAACACCCTATTCATGCGACTTGGATACACCATCAGAGCGCAGTGGGAGCAGGAATGTTAGTGTTAGTGGTCGGCCAAAGCGTCGACGTGAAATGGACGACGATTTGAAGGATCTAAGGTCTGAAATGAAGGCATTTTTCTCTTCCCTATCCGGGGTTGTTGAACAACATTTCAACGATATTAAGTTGCAAAACAGTGAAATGAGAGTAAGCTTGCAATTTCTTTCTGACAAATATGATGACATGGCTAAATTATTTCAAGGATTGGAAGAGGAAAGGAAGAAAGACAACAAATATATATCACAACTAGAGGAAATTCTTGAAGTACTAGAGCGGAAATCAAAATCATCCGGTCTTGAGATTCGTAATGTTCCTTCTTTGACCTCAGATCATAAAAAACCAGAAACGAAAGAAGAAATTACTACTATAGTGAAAAGTATGGCTATGGCTCTGGAAGTGGAGTTACAAGACTATGATGTAAAGGACGTATATAGGGTAAATTCAAAGAAAGGTGAAAACAAACCTATCATCGTTGAATTAAATAGCGCAATAAAAAAAGAGAAAATAATACAAGCCATAAAAGAGCTGAGTAGGACGAAGGGAGTTAAATTGAATACGGAACATTTTAAAATACCAGGACCTGTTAACCTTGTGTATGTGACGGAGACGCTTACGATAAAGACCCAAAAAATATACTATATGGCTCGTGAATTCGCTCGACAAAATGGATATTCTTACTGTTGCACGTCAAAGGGGCAAGTGTATCTTCGGAAGGCTGATGCCTCTATCCCGCATCGAGTCAGAGGAGGACTTCGCGAAGCTTAAATCACAGATCTGACTATGTTACCGTATAAATCTTAATTTTATTAAAGTTTTTACTATTTCAAAAGAATTGTTTGCAAACTACTGCATGTTTTATGAAAAATATTATTGTTCTTACACATCTCTTATCACACTCTATCACACACATATTTACAACATATTACTTACTCATACTCACACTGATTTACTGATATCTTCTCTCACATATCTAACAGAAGTAAAGAAAGTAATATTTCGTTTACGTAACCGATGGTCTAGTTCTTACAATGTATCACCCTTTGTATTACATAATGCTGTTTCTTGTCTACACAAACTGCCACCTACTTTTACTTAATAGTACAATATTAACGAGATATTATAAATCCTTCGAACAAAAATGGGTACTATAAGTGATATTACTGATGTGCTTGATAACTTATCAGTATCGAGCTACCATTGGTGCGAAGCGAGCAGTTGAAAAAAATTGTGTGTGTCAGCTCCGACGCACGACTACAGTTTACTCCTTAAGTTCGATAGTCTAACCAGACGCAAAAAGAGTTTATTTAACTTAAAAAAGATTGATACTGTATGAAAGGGTAAATTAACAAATTAATGAAAATATATACATATATGAATATATATTTATTAATAATTAGAAATATTTTACATTAAACTTTTTACAATAGTCAATTTCAGATGTGCATAAATATATCATTAGGAATGTTGATAAATTATGTAATTAATATTATCAGACTATTATTATTTTTTTAAATATTAATTAAATCAACATTGTCTGCATTATTAATTACAGTGACAAGTGGTTTATGGTTATTAATGTCAATCCGTCATCTTTGTTTGTCAAAGTTGCGCGCATAGGATGCGCACCAAAAACGTAACGAGGTCATTCATCGATAGATTTTACTCCTCACATTTTTCTCATACCGGGCCCCTTATATATGCAAATCGCTTCTTAAGGAGTAAACTCCAAAAACTTCTTCCTGATATTTCCGATAGTATTAGAATCCTCACCCAAAATATACGTAGCATTTCTGCAAACATAAGTAGCTTTCAATCTTTACTATGTGGTATCGAAGTGCGCCAGGACATCTTTGTTCTTACAGAATGTTGGCTTTCCTGTAACTCTAACATACCGATGATGGACGGTTATTACCATTATTCAACTCAAAAAAGGATAAAACAGAATGATGGAGTAATTGTATATGTCAGGAAATCCATAAGAGATACAGTAGTTACTGAACCAGCTTTTATGGATGCAAATTGGCTGGTCTTAAAATTGGGCCATGATACATGTATTTTGGCAATATATAGACCTCCATCTTTTAAAGATATCTCAAACTTTCTTTCTTCCTTAGATCGGGTATTATCAGACCATTCACAGTTTTCGAACATCGTTTTAATAGGAGATATTAATATAGATATATCAAATAGTAATGACAGGAGATGTGATGAGTACTTGAATTTGATTGCCAGTCATGGTCTTTTACCGGCTCATACAAAGGCAACTCATGGTAAAACAACTCTAGATCACGTAATATTGAAAAGTAAGCTTAGGGCTACAACTATAGTATTGTATTCTACAGTCACTGACCACAATGCTGTCATTGTTGCTCTAGAAAAAACTAAAATTAACTACGCAATAAAGGAAAGAAGTAAAGTTGATCACATAAAATTGGAAAAGTGCATTAATGAAATCGACTTTTCCTATATTTGCACTTGTAAAGATGCCAGTGATGCACTTAACGACTTTGTAAATTCCCTTACCAAAAGTATACGTAACCGTACCAATTTTTACACTGTGCCTCATCGCTTACAAATCCTTAAACCTTGGATTACCCCGGGTATTCTTCGATGCATTAGAAATAGGGATAGAATGTATAAAAATGTATTACGACATCCCACAAATGAAATACTCAAGACTACATATAATAGATACAGAAACTTTTGCAGTAATATGATTAAAAAACTTTAAAATACAGTATGAATCCCAGAAACTGTATACTGCGCAATCTAATCCAAGAAAAATCTGGAATCTCATTAGACAGGTAACACATACGACAAAACGTAACATTTCTCCTAGAGTGTTGTTGAAACTAAGTACAAATCCCAAAGATTCTGTCAATGAAATTAATACGTTTTTTGTTGGTATTGGAAAAGATCTCGCAAGTAAGGTCCCGAAATTCACTAAGATTAGTAAAGCATCTAAACTACAACATAGTGGCCTTTGTGCTTCTTTTGTACTTTTTGAAGTTATCGAAACAGAAATTAAAAGTATAATAAACTCTTTGCGGACTAATTGTGCTGTTGGTATCGATGGAATTTCATCCAGCATTCTTAAGACATACAAGTCGGTTCTCGTCCCTCCCTTAACTTAAATTGTCAATTTATGCATCAAAAATGGGGAGTTCCCTGCTTTACTCAAAAAAGGACTGAAACATCCAATACACAAATCTGGAGACAGAAACAACGTAAATAATTATCGTCCAATGTCAGTACTACCGGCTCTATCTAAAGTACTCGAAAGAGTGATGAATAGCCGCATTAAAAATATCTTGAGGACAATAAATTGATATCAGACAGACAATTTGAACTAACCAACTTAGTTGTGAATTCATTATACACAGGCAAAAAGTGTGTAGGGATGTTTCTAGATTTGGCTAAAGCCTTCGTTACGGTGTCCATCCCAAATCTTCTTAATAAACTGGAGAAACTGGGAATTAGAGGGAACCAGTATAAGTTGTTCCAAAGTTACCTCACCGACCGCACGCAGTCTGTAAAGATTGACGAGTATATAAGTGATGCGCTTCCGGTGGAATATGGTGTACCTCAGGGAAGCATACTAGGGCCCACCCTCTTTTTAATATATCTAAATGACATGTTTAAACTTGAACTGACAAATGGTAAAGTAATAGCTTTCGCGGACGATACAGCATTAATATTTTCTTCAGATACTTGAGAACACCTATATTGCTGCTTAAAAGGGTTTTGATGGTGTAACAAATTGGCTCTCTGACTACACATTGATAAAACCAAATATCTACAGTTTAACATCAAACGAATTAACCATCTGGACCCAGAACAATTCCATATACGGGCACATAACCACAGGGACACAAAATGCGAGTGTGATTTGACTGTGTAGCACACCAATAATCAAATATTTAGGCGTGAATCTGGATGAAAGACTATCATTTATTCCACATATTGAGGTACTGGCTAAAAGAATCCGCAAACTTATCTTTATGTTTGGGCATTTAAGACATGTTGCTGATCCAAAGTGCTTGAAGACCGTATACTATTCCCTACGCCAGTCCTTACTGGGATATTGCATATTGTCCCTGGGGTGGTGCATGTAAAACCCACCTATTAAGACTTGAACGGGCACAAAGAGCCGTATTAAAAGTGTGTACCTTTAAGCCTTACTGCTTTCCTATGAAGGATCTTTATGAGTATTGTGAAGTTCTGATAGTACGACAATTGTTTATCTTGCAAATCATTCTTAAGCGGCACTATGATGTAAATCTAAACAGCCTTGTTAAAAGCAACAAATCTAGACGAAAAGTTAAAATTCCACTTACTAAAACATTCAGAACTTCTTTTGGTCATAAATATTATTACTTTTTAGGATGCTTCTTATATAATAATATTAATAGTAAATTGAACATACTACACAAAAGTAAACATGAGTGTAAAAAAACGGTTACAGATTGGCTCTTAATACACACATACACATATGTATATATATTGCCTAAATTAATGATTGTCAAAGTTTTTGAGTTAAAATTCAATAATCAAATGATGTGAATTTGGTAAGAGTCTGGTACTTATAGCACAGATATTCTTTTTTAAGTACCAGCAGCTATAATATTATGTCAAAACTGTGTCACATCTATGTGATAATAAGCTATGTAATCATTATCTTTGTGGAAAAAATAAACTATTATTATTATTATTATAAAGAAAAACATTATGGCTTTTAACGAAAAATGTCCCCTAGGGGTGGCCGTATTGGTTGATGTTTAGTTAACCCTACATAGCTAACGTTCCTGAAGATGTTAAGCTAACCATTCGACTTTTTGACGATCATTTTTTTAAAGTCTGTTTTATTAAAGTTTTATTTTATTTTAATTAGGTTTATTTATAGGAAATATGGGATATGAATTAAAAGATAATTATTATAAAAATGAATATTTATTTAACTTTTAATACTAAATCACAAATATAAAATGGCACGTACGTTTCTTTGAGATCAATAAGCTCTAAATCTTACAATGACTAATTAGGAACTATTTTTAAGATAATGATTATATTTTTTTTGGTACTATAAAGAAAAAAACCTTAAAATTAACCGTAATATCAAATGACTTGAATTTTTTTAGCACAAGTTGGGCAAAAGTCAACTGTATGTTCGCCACAAATGGGAACTTTGCAACTATTGCAGTGATTTTTTGTCATACGCCTTTTCTTGTATGAACACAAACTACAGCTTTTCCTTTTTCTTGTCGAGGCATTTTCAGGAATCAGATGACTTCTAGAGTCAGATTGCACAGGAATTTGACCATGACCTTCATCGCGTTGCTCATGGTTCACATATTTCGTCAGTCATAAAGGAGCCAAATAAAATGAGAGGATCTGTTATGTTTCTGACTGAACGGGCTGGCCCTCTAGCCATACGAACGATATTTATCGCAGAAGTTCGGGAAGAAACATGTGCTTTATGAGTTGCCCACACGTATCGATTTTTGCCTCGAATATTAGGTTGAGTCAAGTGGACAATGTAGTTGGAAATAGATGAAGAATTCTCACTGGGAGGAAGAGCAGCGGGAGGTGACCTTCCTTGTTCCTCTTCAATATCTAAAGGTGGACTTACTTGTGTCTCTTCAGTGTCCGAGAGTTCGTCGTGAACGTCACTTTCCACGTCATCTATCAACAAACCGCCCTCATTCTCACTATCAGAAGATACATCATTTGTGTTGATATAATCTTCATCACCTAACGCACGAACTATTTCGTCATCAGTGATGAACTTTGCAGCCATTCTTCACTATCAACGTTATAAATAAAAAAAAACAAAGTAAAAATCAAAACAAAGTACAGGTATAAAAGTTACGCATAAGCTAACCATTCGTCAAAATGACGAGCATGCAGTAGGTATCTCAAAAACAAAAGTACTTACCGGCTAAACGCGACCACCACGTGACGTGTTCTAGCAGTCACTAAATTGGCGCGAAACCGCGAGTATGTAGGTAAAACCGTTAGAAAGGGAGAGAAGGATATTTATTAGATGTTCGTAATTTTGACGAACGTTAGCTATCTAGGGTTAATAACTCAAATACTTTAATTACAATAAATAAATACCATTCA